TTCTTTTTTAGTTCCAATCCAAGACTGTCGGGAGCCATTTTTGCACTTGAAGTCATAAAAATAATAAAAATAAATAATTACGCTTTTCAAGGCTTACCGTGTTACATTTACCTTGTAATGATACAAAAATGCTCTGTGGAACACAACGTCTTGGTTGGATGTGGAATGTATTGATGTAATGAAACACTTGTTGTATTTCACTTCTTGTATTGATAAAACACTTTGATAAAACTTACTTCGATAAACTGTCTTGATAATACTGATTGATTAACTTCCATATACTGACTGAATTACATGTCGGTTTACATGTCTTATATAGTTTTATGTTTACATGTCTTATGTTTACATCTCTTATATAGTAAAATGAACCTGTGTAAACTTGTTCTGGAAGATTCTAGATGCTTCTTTTCGATGCTTTTGGAAGCTTCTGGATGCGTCTGGATTCTTCTGAATGTTTCTGGATACTTTTGAATGCTTCTGGATGCTTCCAGATGCTTCTTCTGGAAACTTCTGGAAGCTTCTGCATACTTCTGGAAACTTCTGGATACTTCCTTTAATTATTAAAAAACTTCCGTGACGTTGACACGAACCAGACTTAAAAAAATGAAACAAACCAAAAAAGTTGCACTTGTTTTGTCCGCTGCAAAATGGCACTTTTTAACGAAATTCTGCCTGTGTGCAGTCACCTGTCAGCTGGTTGCTCATGTCATGGCATGCTATGACTTTAGACTCCTGAACTGTTTGCTGTGGTAGTATAGTTCGCTTCGTTTTTAAGACATGTAAAATTAGGAACAATTTTTAGGATTGTTCGATGTTGGTTGCAAATGTTTTGTCCAGTACTGTATATATTGATTTTACAAATAATATACTAATATGCAGTACATTTTGAATGATTTTTGTAAAAATAATTTTCTGTGCCAAGCAATGTAAAAAAGTTTTGAATTGAATAAACTATGAAACTGTAAATCTTTTCTGGAATAGTCTGAAAACACGTATCATCAATAAGGTATAACTTTTATAGTAAATGTGTAACATACTAATGTGGTAGCTAGAACCTCAGTAGAAAAATGGTGGATTTTACTGCACATTATATTAATAATACAAAACAGAAAATCTTTGTTTTTGACAAAAGTTACCTATATTTAAAATTCCAAATGGCAAACTTGGTACAAACTAAGGCCTTAAGTACAAATTACGCGACTAGACTCACTTTAAGTTTTTAACGAAATTAAACTACAAATGTTACTGTATTTTAATTTCTTAGAAGTTGTTTTGAATTCACATAAATAGTGCTTTCACAAAAATATGATAAAAAGACAAATATTTAACATGTTTAAAGTAATACTCTAAATATTGAAGCCGCAAAATAGAAAAACTTTGGTATCATATCAACTCGAGATAGCTGTTGCCAGAATCTAGTTTCCTTTCACAAAAAAAAAAATTGATTCCTAAGTTCAACATAGCAAAGATAAAATTTTAGTCAAAAGATATTTTTTGAGTTGTAAAAATAACTAGATACAGCAAAAGTACAATTTAGGCGCGAGTACAATATCGGCAACCTTACACTACTCTTGTTTTTTGATTAAAAATAACAAATTCAGAAATTTGTACTAAAAAATTTAAGATTATCTAAACTTAGCAAACTTAGTAATTGTTTTAGTTAATTCACCAACGTACATCTACGTACAAGACACTAAAAACACTGTAGAGAGTAAACCTCAAAACACTGTAAAAACTTACTCTCTTTACTTAAATTTAAGATATATCAAAATGTATACACCAAAATAAATTGAAATTATTTATTTGTTCTTGGACTACAAATCAACGCATATGTTATCAGGGCAAGCAACATGGGTTTAGAAATGGAGGGGTACAATCATCGGTTTTTAAAAACAATCCTTTATCTAGAAATTTCTTTCAAAATAAAGGTCCATTAGAAAAAAACTGTGGGAGGGGGAGGAGGGCACATGCTCCCTGGTGTCGTCGGCTCTGGTTATTAGATCTCAACTGAATTGCACAGTAAAACAGTTTTTTTAAGATGATAAATAACAGGGGTGCCGTAGAAATGAAAAAATTTGAAGTTTTGAAAAACAAAACAAAGAGAAAATATCTTTTAAAATCGCTAAAAACCACCCTTGTGGTTTTTTTAGTGATTTTCACAATTTTATTCACCTATTCAAAACTTTATATATACGAATCTAAATAATCGAGACTCTTCAATGAGGGTCATTTGTAGGTATATATTGGTAACGAACATTTGTGGAAAACTTTAGGATTTTTCATAAAAATTTCCAATACCATTAATACCATCATTGAATCTTATGATGGCAGAACCAATTGTAAGTACTTTTATACTATATATATACTTTTATACTATATATGTACTATATATACACCAATTGTAAGTACTTTTCTGCTACAATAAGTAGATTTGGGGCAGCGTACCCAAATAATTACATTTAAATACTCGAGTGTTTAAATGGAACAAAATCAAGTCCCCTCATTTTATTTGTAGAATCGCCTCTGTAAATAAGTTTCTATACCTATTATATTGACAAGACTTAATGATGCAACTGATAATGGCTTCAGCAATTAATGATGCAACTGATAATGGCTTCAGCAATTACAACAATTGCACAGATTGAAAAAAGATCACAAAAAATTCTTGCTAAAAGTATTAATAAAAATAGTTTCATAACAAAATAAATTTAAGTATGAAATATTTTTTTTCCACAAAGAAATTTTTTATCTAAAAAAAAAATAATGCGTGGAATGTGAAAAATACAGAACCTGTAGTGAGTTTTAGATAGTGCCAAAAATGGTTCGTTTAATGGTAAGATAAGAACTGACGTTGTTCGAACAGTAAAAACATTTAATAAAGTGGTTTTATTTAATTTAAAAAAACATGGTGGTAACTTTGCCAATACTGATTGCGTTTTAGCACAAGTTTTGGTCCAGCACAATCATTGATGAATTTGAAACTAAAGCTGAGTACAAAAACTTAGGAGTGATTAATGTGTTCATATATTCAATCAATGATTGGAACAATCATTAATTGAATCAATGATTGATTGAATCAATCATTGATGGAATCAATGATTGGAACAATCATTTTTGAATTTGAATCACAATCATTGATGAATTTGAAACTAAAGCTGAGTTAGGAGTGATTAATGTGTTCAGCTAAAGTAGTTTAAATAGTTAGATACCAAAATTGTCTAAAAAAGTCAATACTATTTTCAAACTATAAAAAGTAATGACTAAAAATATTATGAAAGGCTATTAAAAATTGGAACGAGTTTAGTTATAACGACTTTTAAAAGTTAAAGCGACGTTTAGACAAAACGTTTAGCTTTAATTGATTATTCTTTCAGAGAAATCCGTTTAGAAGAAACCTATTTTCGACATCATAGCATATATCATACAGCAGCCGTGGTGCAGTGGTAGCGCACTTGCCTCAGAAACAAAGGACCCGTGGTTCAAACCCCACCTCAGTGCAAGCTTTGCGACATCGGTTAGGAAGGAGGCTTGAACTTTCAATTAAATGCTCATCCGCGGTGCTCAAAGACAAGACCGTAAGGACTTTTTGGAGCACCTAATTACAATAAAAACAAAAAACAAAAAAACAAAAAAACAAAAAATGTCATTATAAAATTATTACACGTAAAAACAGCATATAGAAACTATTGCTGGATTTAATCAACCTAAAATAAAAAAATAATTTATAGTTGAATTTATAATTTTATTATTAAATAAAATTTATTATTAAATCGTTAAAAGAAGTTTCGGCAACGAGTTTTTTTGGCGTAATAACCTTTATCACATTTATCTAATAGAATAACCTAATAACCTTTATCGCATTTATCTAATAGAATAACTTAATAACCTTTATCACATTTATCAAATAGAATCTAATAACAACTTTTTTGGAGTCCTGTTTGTTCAGTTTGCTCTTTTGCCCCAATTTTTTTTTTTATTTTTACAATAAACTGCGTGTTGTTTTGCTCTTTTTTTTTTTTTTAGTTATAAATTTTATTCGCTTCTTCTTGAGACTTTTGCTTTGGTTTGTATCTATGGATTTTTAAATGCTATTAAATATCCTGCATAAATGGATTTAAGAAGTTTTTTTTTTAATTTTTATTATAAAAGGAGGAAAAAAATATTTATTTTCTTTCACATTCTTTTCTTTTCCCGTGTGATATAGGGCGACACTTTTCAAAATAAAAATAAATAACAATGCCCAAAAAAGATGTCCCTAAAGACATGTATGTCCATGTTAGGCGTCGATTGTATGTCCGATGGACGTATTAAATGTAACACAAAATGGCTTTCCAAAACGGTCTTCACATAGAATGTAGGAATGTAGACGTCAAATAATCGTCCATTCGATGTTCGACTAATATATAGTAAAAAATATAGCAAAAAAAAAAAACTTAATTGCATGCGATTAAGTATTTTATTTTTCTTATACTTTTATAGCTTTGCATTAAATTAAAAAAAAAATGTATTTTATAGTATTGTTATTATTATATAGTTATTTTATTTTCGTTGTTCCTGCAAATTGTAAATTATTATTGTTTTTGTTATTGATGTTATTAATTGTTTTGATAATGTTATGTGTATTTAGTATTAGGATTAATTTAAACAATTTAAAAAAAGACTTGACAATCAAAATATATTGATTAATTAACCGAATGAATAACCTATATCTATATAGCATTTTATATGAAACAAGCAAAAAATATTTAGCAAAAGTATTAGTTTTCTCAAGTCTCGGCGATTCATTTGTTGCCTGATAATTTAAAGTTTAGGGTTAGGTGATAAACTTTTATAAGGATAGTACTTTAAATGTATTTTATTAAAACATTGTCAACTTGTCATATATTAACATAAATTAAAACAAGAGTTGTTGCTAAAAATAATAAGTATCAAAACTGTTTGGTACAACCAAATTTTTGTTTATAAGTTAAAGCCTTTTTTTCGGTAAGACATCGTTTTCATTAGGTATCTTTTTTCGGTAATATATTGTTTTTGTTTGGTACAACATCGTTATTATTGGTTAAAGTATTTTTTTCTATCGTTAAATCATTTTCAATTATCGGACATGGCGAGGAAGCATTTCTTGATGAGGATATGTTAAAAAAACGAGTGTGTGCCAAATATATTTTTGGTAAAACAAAGCAGATCATTAAAATGTAGCCAGAAATATTAACCGCGAAAGCCATAACCAGAGTCTTTAAATTTACATTTAGAAGCTTAAATGTTGATAAAAAAGCTGCCATTATAATGCTCAAAGCAGCACAAGAAAAGCATAAAAATTTAGGCTCGTAAAGTATATGTTTACTATTTCGATCACGAAAAGCAAAAATTGTCGAAATTGTAAGTAAAATTATCGGAAGTAAAATAGAAACAAGTTTTGCTGGAGACAACTCGACATTGCAAATTTTTTCTAATAAAGAACCGTTATTAACTGGTTGGTTTTCAACATCAATTTTTCCTGAATCAATTACAAAATACGCAGTAATTGTGCACATTTGCACGAGCAATAAAAAGGCAACAAGGAGCATTTGTGAAGCAAATAATTGAAATTTAGATTTACGTTTGAGGAATTCCGACATTAATTGAGTTTTTATTAATAAAAATGAAGAAATGATCATAAACAAAAAATGGAACCCAACGCTTTTTGCTTTACACAAATAAAAAGATGGTTCCACGACATTCAGAAATCCAAAAGAAAATGTTAAAACCAAAATAATACACCCAAAAGTGATCATATGAGGAGATGATTCGTCTGTTATAACTAAATGATTAAATTTACAAAGAACAAAGCCAAACAAGATTGATAAAAATAGTCCTATACCATTAGCAATAACTATTGCGGCTCCTTCTACATCATTATATCTTCTCCAATATATACGTATAACTAAACATATGGTATGATCCGGTGTATAATAACCTGGTTCACAAGGTAAGCATTGATTAGCCATTATTGTATCACTATAATTGTTGATTCCGCAATCTTCGCAACTCCAACAACAACCTGTTTTTGCTGTATAATATTGCCCTTTTCGGCAATCTTCACTACATCTAGAGTTCGGGTATTCTTGTTCAGGTAATCTCTTAAACCAAAAAGGCCATTTTATTAAACTTTTTTCAATCAAAAGGTTTTTAGTACGTTTGTTACTCCAATTACCAACCGAAACATATTTTAATTGTCCATTCAAAAGTTGTAAGTTCTCTATAGAGTAAAAAACGTATGTTGGTTCTCCTGATTGGTCAAACTCAACAACTTTTCCAATGTTATTTTTAAAAGATATATTTCGGACTATAGTATTTAATTCTACTGGATCAATAGCAGATATAGAACAGTCTTTATCTTTTATGCAACGTATATCAAGGAACTTGTAAATAGAAAGAACAAGCGCAGTTACAGCATCAACAAGGTTGCTAATTTTGCCAATGGAACTAGATAGTTCCTTCATAACATTTTTAACGTCAACTGAACAGTTGTTATAACCAAACAAAATTTCTTTATTGCTAGAAATGTTACTTGGCTCACAATTGAAACTGTTTTTGAGAAAATTCTTTAGCCACATGTTACAAACAAAGTTACTCTTTACTTCATTTTCCATAAATTGAACAAAATCTGGCAATTCGTAGCGCTTTGGAGAAACTGAAATGATACCATGAGTTTGGTTATTTAATGTCACATTCAAATTTTCTGCATCGGTAACCCAAGCGTCGCTCGTTAGCCATATTCTTTGTACCCCTCTTTTTTCAGCTTCATTTAATATAAAGTTACCTAAACCAACAACATACAAAAACAAAATAATAACTTTAGCCTTTATTTTATTGACAATAAGCTCCATTAGGTTTTCGACACTCTTTTGAGTATTTGGAGACTTAAATGGTACATATATAGTTTCGGTAATACAAATATTTCTTACTCGAGCTCTTGTTTCTAGTTCAGATATAGCCAGCTTGCCATAATCATCGTCAGAACCAACAGCTATAATAAAGTTCCAGCGAAAAGATTCAATAATGTCTAACATCACAGACACTTGATTATTATCTGAGGGAATAGTTCGGAAAAAAGACTTGTATAGGTCAGTTTTACTCAGCAGGCTGCTACTAGCCGCAGGACTGATTTGAGGAATTCGATACAGTGACGTTAAAGTAGCCAAAGGGATTGTTGTGAGGCTAAGCAAAGTTCCAATTATACCAACTGGAGCCTGTATATCATTGGAGTTTCTTTGACTCTTGCTTGAACAGTGAAGAAAGCTTTTCCGACAAATAGAATTTTCACGTAGCATCGACGCTAGTTCAATGCCTCTCGACATTGTAATAGGCAAACTCTCGCAATCGTCATCAATCCGTAAACCAATTTTTGCTACCTGTGAATTATTTACTTTTTTGTAAGCGTTATAAAGAGCATACTCAATTGCATATTGACGAACTAAACCAGATCGGCTTACTATATTGCAAAATGTATTTCCAGTAATGGTTATTATGGCTTGAATTGTATAATTTCCATTGGTAATACTTGTTAGTCGTGTGGACGAAGTAGCATCTGTAATTACGTAGTTTTGTATATGTTGACATCTAGTTGAATATAGATAAGCAGCAAACGTACAAGTTACAACTTTTAACAAAAAGTGAAAATAAAACCACACTAACAT